ATCTCCATCTATGACACCAAGCGCAACGAGAAGAGCAAAGAGTATCGGGAGGCCATGGTGAGCCTTGTTCCCTGGCCCAGGCCCTGGCGTTTCCTGTACACCCCCACCACCACCAACAACCAGGCCTCCAAGGTGGTGAGGATGATTAGGGAGGCTGCCGGAGGCTCTTTATAGGGGATGACATTATTGACATCATTGCGGTCATCCTTGCTGCGGAGCTGGCCATTTCTAGGATGAACTCCAAAGAGCATGCAGGATCCAGACCAGGTCTCTCCCCACCTCCAGGGGCTATGGCCAAGCTGTAGAGACCTCTACTGCATGGAGAAAGAAGGAAAATCATGTACCCACCTCCACTCAGGGCTCTCCCCAAGGTCAGGACCTGGGCCCGCAGCCCCAGTGAGCCACCTCTGGCCACAGCAGCTCAGGACATTCGGGTTACACCCTCAGGCTACAAGGCCCAGCTGGGGTTTCAAGACAGCTTTTGAATCCCCTACATCAACCAAGTGAGGACTTCTAAAAATAGTTAGGGGTTGGTGAGGCAGAACAGGGCATCAGATCCCAGGGACGGATGGGTTTCAGATCCCAGGGATGGATGTTGACCCCCCACATCCCCAGCCTCACTGGCCCCCTATCTGCCGATATAGGCCATAAGGCCCCGGGTAAGAAAGGAAGGGAGTTACCAGCAGTTTTCAACTTAACATTACTCTAACCACCATTTATTACCATTTATTGAGCAAGCATCTGCTGAGCGTTAGCTGCCTGAATTCATGTTTGACGGAGTTGGCTATGAGGGACAGCACATAGTTCCTCTCAGATGTCTCAGTCACAGAGGTGCCAGGCACCTGGATGAGGTGACCCAGCTGACCACCCCCCCACCCCACCAACACTGCCCACAGGAGCGCGTGATGCATGAGGAGCACCTGCGGCAGGTGGAAGCCCAGCTGGACTACCTGGCCCCATTCCTGGCCCAGCTCCCACCGGGAAACAAGCTGACACACTGGCAAGCCATGTGTGTCAAGGACGAGTGCCTCAGTGACTTCAAGCAGCGCCTCATCGACAAGGCCAACCTCATCCAAGCCCGTTTTGAGAAGGTGTGGCCAGAGTCTGGGCAGGGGAGGGAACCTCGGTGTCCACATCCAGAAAATGGACCTGGGGCTATCAGCTCACCGTCTCTGATACAATTGTGAGGGACCAGTGAGGGAAAGAGTCTATCAGTGCTTGGAGTTTCCAAAAGACTGAGTTGTCCTTCCTGGTTCTTGTTTATTGGGTGGAAGGGTGGATGGAGGGGTGGATGGGGTGGATGTGTGGATGTAAGAGGGGTGCATTATACCACTCCTAGTCCTTGTCTCGTTTCTTCCTGCTACATACCATGTAGTTTCCATGCATTACACCATTTAAGCTTCACGACATGCTCTATGGTGTGTGCCAGGGGTATACGATGCCCTTCATTTTCTGACACGCTCTGAAAATATTGGAAACTTGTTCACAAGTCTGTCTTGGCAGTGAGCCCTGCTCCTCATGGACAGGGCATCCCTCTATAAAAGTCCCCGCTGACTCCCACGCAAGACATTTTGCGGACCCCGCCTCTGCCTTCTGTGGGTGGTGGCGGCAGGGCCAGCCCTCATGAGGCTGTCCGAGAGTCAGCCCTAATCCACCCCCTTGCTCTCTCCTCCCTGCACCTGCAGGAGACCCAGGAGCTGCAGAAGCAGCAGCAGTGGTACCAGGAGAACCAGGTGACCCTGACGGCCGAGGACGAAGACTGGTACCTGAGTTACTGCTCTCAGGCCATGTTCCGCATCCGCATCCTGGAGCAGCGGCTCAACCGGTGAGTGGCGGGGGAGCTGGAGAGGACCCTAGGGAGGCTGGGGCAGAGCTTTGTGGGCCCTCACCATCTCCCGTTCCTCCCTCTGATCTCAGGCACAAGGAGCTGGCCCCACTAAAATACCTGGCTCTGGAGGAAAAGCTCCACAAGGACCCCCGCCTGGTGGAGTTCCTGAAAGTCTTTGTTTGATGCCCCTCATGGGGCCTCTGCCGAAGCTACCAGAGCAAGAAACCTCCCCCATAGCCTGGCCACCAGGCTCCCAACTCCCAGCAAATGACCACCCCCTTGGGCATCCAACCTCACTGCCACACCACCTCCCTGCACCCCAGTCTGCTCCTGCTCCTCATGACTTTCCGGTAAATAAACATACTTTTCATTTGCCGCTTATGCCTCATGTTTCACAAATTTCAGTGAAACTTGGATACTTTTTCTCCTTCCCTTCTTTATAGCCTGAGATCACCCCCACCCCACCCACCTTGGCCACTTCCCTCATTTATTTTCTCTCCTTCTTTCCACTGGAATGTTGAGTCTTTGTGGCACTGCTGCAGATGGTCCCACAGACACCTTCAAACAACTGGGAAGATCTCAACCTGGCTACGGTGGTCCAGCTGACGGGAGTGGCAAGGCCAAGGTGCAAGCTCCAGAACTCGGGGGCTCCCCCATCAGACTGCAAAGGACAGCATCCCAGTTCTGCTTCCTACCAGCCACTATTGAGCTATCTGTGACATGGGATGGCATTGTTGTTGTCTTAAGACTTGTAAAGCAGAGGACCAGAGGTGGCATATAGAAAGCACTCAGTGTTAGTTTTTTTTTTTAAAGATTTTATTTATTTATTCATGAGAGACAGAGAGTGGGGGGCAGGGCGCAGAGGGAGAAGCAGGTTCCCTGTGAGGAGCCTGATGCAGGACTCAATCCCGGATCCCGGGATCATGGCCTGAGCTGAAGGCAGACGCTCAATCGCTGAGCCACCCAAGCGTCCCTCAATGTTAGTTTTTAAACTGGCCCAAAACACATGAAAGTGATAAATTCTTCAGTCATCAGGGATATGAAATGCCACCTACTAGTATGCATAAAATGAGTAGGAGTCGGGAGGATGAGAAGCAACTGGGCCTCTCAAATAGCTTTCCCAGTGGAAGGGTCAACCTGTACAACCACTTCAGAAAACTGGTGGTATCTAGGCAAACTAAACTTTAGCTCAACAATTCTGCTCCTAGGTTCTGCTCCACCCCCACCACCCCCATCCATCTACTCATCCATCCATCCAATGAACAAGAACGATGAACAACTCAACCAAGATGCACATTGTGTCCACTAAAAAGCATGTACCAGAATGTTCATGGCATCAGTATTAATATTAGTACCAAGCTGTAAACGACCGAAATGCCCATCAGGAGTAGAGTAGAGACATAAATTGTGGTCTTGAGACATTTTTGGTTGTCATAACTAGCATGAGAGTGCTACTGGCATCTGGTATGCTGCTAAACATCCCACAGTGCACAGGACAGCTCTCTGCAATAAAGAATGAATGATCTAGCCTAAAATATCAGTGATAGGTTATGAAATTCTACTTAGGCTCGGTGAACACAAATGAACTATAACCATAGAAAATAACACAGAAGATTCTTCATATACAATATCAGAAGATTCCAGATATAAAAAAGTACATGTTGCAGGATTCCATTTGTATGGAAAAAAATCAGGCAAACTAATCGACGGTATCAAAACAGGCATCACTCTTGGGGTATAAGGGAGCACCATGGGGGCTTCTGGGATGCTGGGAACATTCTTCTAGACATGAGCATGTTCAGTTTGTGAAAACCCACTTTTACACTTACAGTACAGTAGCCCTTTGGGGTATGTGTATTATACTTCAATGCAAAGGGTTTTAAAATGCTGATCCTGAATCCAGTCAAGTTTTAACTTCCATCTAACAAAAAATTCAGAGGGAAAGAAACAAGGTAAGCGACACTAGCAGGGAACAGTGAGACGAAATCCTAATATAGGGCAGCCTACAGGGTAAAAGACCTGATCGATCTCTTCAAAAAGATCAATGCCATTAAAAAATAATAATAATAGGGAATTGAAATAGAATGAGCTTAAAAGAGCCAAGTGTTGTGAATCTTGTTTGTCTCTTAGGGGAAAAAAGAAAGAAAGCTTTACATAACTTTTGAGGATGATCAGGGAAGTCTGGATGTCAGAGAATTCTGTCTCTTTGGTGTGGTGATAGGACGGCCGTGTGGGACAAGGGCCTCATTCTTAGAGGTACGTGCTCAGTATTTTGTGTCGTTTGGGGGTAAAATGTCTTGATGTTTACAACTTCCAAACTGCTCAGAGAAAATACCTGCATGGGCAAAGCAAATAAGGAGGAGCATTAACAAGTGCTGGATTGTACTACTAAACTATTATACATGGTCGTAGAATTCGTCACAATTTCTCCTCTAAGAGGCTTTTCACAATAATAGAAAGTTGAGGGGAAACGGGAAACACAGTTTGATCGGACTTTACACCGAGCCAGTGGTCTTCGGTAGCTCCCACGGACCTCTCTCCACCCACTCCCGGAAAGCGCATCACGGGGCGCACCCCTCTCCGGCGCAGGCGCAGAAACCCAGGCAAGGAGTCGAGGCCAACACCGCTCTTTTGGGTCGTGCGGCCGTGACAAGCGCCTCCACCCGGGCCTCGGCTTCCTCTCGGTCAACGGGAACAGGTCTCCGTCCCACCTGGGGGTGCCGGGGGAGTTACACGAGACGGAGCTGCCTTGAGCCGCACGAAGTCAGCGCTGGCGGTGACCTGGAAGGGCCGGGGTCTTCGGGCCCCGGGCGGGTCCGGCGCCCCCACGCGAGGGCCCGGGCTCCGGCTGTCACGGCCCCTCCCTGAGCCCACCCAACCCGAGCGTCCACCGCAGCCGGCCTTCTTCGGAGCTCTAGGTGGAGGCAGCTCGGGCCCGGGATCAGGCTCCGTCGCCCCGCGGGCCTCCCGTCCGAGCCAAAGAAGACAGGCAAAGTCCCGACCACGCGGAAGAAGCAGAACTGCGGCGGAGCGCGAAGCCCTTGCCCCGCCTCGCCCCACTCCAAGATGGAAGGTCCGCGGCTTCACGCGGCTCCCGACGGCCCCTTCCCATTGGCTACCTGGGAACTGGTTTTTTTTTTTCCAATAAGGCGGGCGCTTATTGGTCAGATTGGGACGGTCGCTGAAGCGATTGGCGCAGCCGACAACGGAGGGCTGTCTCGTAATAGTTTCAAACGCGAACTAAGAGGGACAGAAGGAAAAGGAGAGGAATGGGAAAACCTGAGGCGGAGGCGGGACCAAGGAAAAGACAGGCTTCGCCGGTTCATTAGAAGCTGAGGGGCGGCTCTTGAGTTCTCCTTCCTCGGGATTAGTCCAATTCAGGAGCAGGGGGCGGGTACTCAGGAAGAGCGGCAGAAGCGCCTGCTTCGATTGGCCAGGCCTGGCGGGAGGCGGAGCGCTCGCGGCGGCTGATTGGTGCGGGAGGTGAGGAGGGCGGGGCTCTGAGCCGGAGGTTTTGTTGTGAGGGTCGGTTGTCAAGCAGCGGCCAATCAGGGCGGGGGATGGAGGCAAGTGGGGGTCGCGCCGAGAGCGGAGCCTCGGCCTCCGGAGCCTTAGCTGCAGGTGAAGTGGGCCAGGGGCGAGGAGGGGAGGGGGGCTCCGGGCCTAGGACCCGGCCGAGCCAGGCGGGGCCGAGCCGGGCTGTGCGGAGAGGGCTCCGGGCGGGGGGAAGTTGGAGCCGGGCCCCGCGAGCGGAGAGGAGCGGGAGGATCGGGCGAGGCCGAGGGGCCAGCCGCAGCCTCGGGGCGGGGGGCGGGCGGGGACGGGCGTGGGGGCCGGAGGGGGAGACCGGGTAGGCCGGAAGCGGAGCCGAGGGTCCGCAGAGGGCTGAGTGGCCAACAGGGACCCTGGAAGGAGAGTGAATGAATGGGCTGTACTGATAGCAGAAAGGGAAGGGGAGTTCAGGGGGTCTGGCGAGGCAGGGGTCAAGATAGGGGGCCCGGGACACAGGATGTGCACGAATGGGGGACGTAGGAGGCTGGGAGAAGGGGAAGGAACGGAGGACTAGAGAGGTAGACCTGGGGAAGCCAGGAGCGAGAGGAAGGAGAGGAGAGGGAGGGATCGTGGGAAAGAGGCTTGGAAGAAGGGGGTAGCCGGCCTCGTGAAGCGGCCTTGTGGTCGAGGAGGCCGACCCACCTATGCCCAGACTGGAGACCTAGTTCCAGTACTGTCCTTGGGATTGCAGGGGCCACGAATAGCTCCCCTGCCACGAGAAACGGAGGGATAGGACCCTCAGGGCCCTCTTTGACATTCTCCCCAGAGAAGACTTAAATGCCTGTCTCTGGAGTGCCTCTCCTGGGCCCCTGGCTCCACCTCCTTCCCATAGCGTCAGACGAAACAGTGACTCCCAGAAATCTATCTCAACTGCAGACATGTGGTCTTCCCCGCCCCACTGCGGCGGCGGCTGCTGCACTTGGGGCAGCCAGCCGCCTGGAACAGAGCCGCCTCCCATCCCATCATCCTGGCCTCTGGGAGGGCCTTTCTCTCCCTGTGTTCCGAGTCACCCTGTCTGAGGTGCCCCCTCCAGATTCTCACACCCCATTTGCAGTGCAGCTCCTTGCTCTGGTGGCTATGGTGGGTGTCTCTTTATGAAGCAGTCTTGGAGATCCCGGGAGCTGTGGCTGTCATTCTGTAAGCCTAGAGCTTCCCGAACTCCCACCAAGTATTTTCAAACAAGCCATCGCTTCTGTTTGTGTTCCAGCCCAGGGTTGAACTGACATGGCTCGAGCCTGACATTCCATAATCCGGGATCCTGACGGGCACACACAGACTGCTGCTGTGGCTGCTGTGACCTAACACCACGAGGCTGTCCAGGGCTGAGAGACGAGGCATTCCCTCTGCCTGGATGTGTGAGAACTCCCTGCCAACTTGATTGGCGGATCTGGGGGGGATCCACCCCCACCCCAGGAGAAGAGCAGTCTATTTAGTGCGTGGAGCTTCAGGTGCCAGCCAACTGAAGGATGGCCACTCCTGTCGTCACCAAGACAGCCTGGAAGTTACGTAAGTGATTTTCTTTCTTTCTCCCCCCCCCACCCCTCACCCCATTTATCCTGTTAGCTGCTTGTTGCTGGGTGGCCTGGACCCCAAGATTTGTCCCCTGTACTTATCACAGAGGGGGACTCCCAGCCTTGGAATAAGATAGACCAGGATGCAAATCGTGACTTTGGCACTTCTTAGCTGGGTAATGCTGGGTAGGTGACCTAACCTCTCTGAGGTGAATTTCCTGTCTATACAATGAGATAATCACACCCTCATTTTACAGCTGCTGTGAGACCCAAGCAGGGTGGTGAACATGAAGAAGCACTTAGTACAGTTAGGCTGACGCGTGGGACTAGGGGAGAGAGATGCTGAGAGGTGTTCTCGGCATTTGCAGACATCTCAGGAGTCAGGCTTCCCATGGGGGCATTTGGGGGGCGGGAGAAGGGTAGGTCAAGGGATGTTGACAGGGCTCTGGAATGTCACTGAACACCAGCACCACCCACCTCACGTTATTCTCCACCAGCAACTCTAAATTTTTTGATCTCAGGACCTCTTTATAGTTTTAAAAATTGTCGAGGACCCCAAAAAGATTTTGTTCATGGGAGTTATCAATATTTACATGTTAGAGATTAACAATCAGACGTTTTAAAACACAAGAGCAGTCAAATACCATTAGTGATGGTGTCATCACGTGTTTTGTATCTTCCCAAAAAAAAACTCCTGTATGCTTTTGAGCAAAGAAGTGTGTAAAAGTCGAATACCATCTTGGTGCTACTATGAAAATAGTTTTGTTCTCTTAGACCCCCCAGAAAGGATCTTGAGGATCCCAGGGTCCTCTATCTTATTTTGGGAACTGCCTTACCACATCTATGGTAACTGGTTAACATAGATTTGTTGTGCCCAAACTGGTCACCTTCTGCTATGTGCTGTCCCTGAGCTGTTTTCAAACACTGGGCAAGGCCCCTCCACTTTTTAACTGTGAGAATCTGGGCAAAATCTTTTGCTGGACATCAGTGTTTTCACATCTAAAATGAGAGCTTTGGATAGTTTCAAACCGTCTTTTAGCCCTAGGGTTCTGAGAGAACCCTGTATGGGCTCCCAAGGAGGGTACACTGTGGACAGAGTGGCTTTGTATTTACGGAGGTTATGTATTCCTTCAATAACTGGTCTTGCCTGAGCGTAGAACCAGGCACCGGGGAGATAGTCGGGGAGGTCCCTATGCAATAGGGCTCACAGCCTAGGGACTGCAAGAGGCAGAAATCAGATAACCGCACCCCTCCATTTCTCCTTGTCTGATTCCAAGCTGGGACATGTGGTTTGACTCAGTTAACTAGATGCTGGCAGGTGGGGTAGGGGAGTGCTAAACAGCACATACAAAGGCCCTGGGGCAGGAAGCTCAGCAAGGTGGAAGGGCTCAAAGGAGCCCATGAGCTGCCACACAGCAGTGGAGAGAATGTGCCACATGAGGCTTTTGGGGTCTTGAGGGGCATATGTCCACAGGACCCCAGCCTTTCTGAGGCCTTGGCTTTATCTTAAAGGCAAGGTCAAGCCATCAGTGTTCAAACAAGGTGGTAATATGATCAGGTATGTTGGGCTTTACTGACAAGTTCATGTGCATAGCAGTCCCTGTGAGTATAAGCTATCTGAAGAGCCCAAAGCCAAATGACCCCTGGCTCCTTGTGGCTAGAGTCCAGCAAGGATCAGAAGGTGCTAGGCCAGCTTGCGTCATTCAGGCCTGCTCTCTTCACCTTTCATTAATGGAGCAAATCCTCAGCACCTGTGGCCGAATCCCCAGCTATTGCTGGGACTTGGGGCCCAGGTTATGCCAATTGAGCATGGGAAGCTGGTGCAGGCCTGCAGCCATCAGCCTAGCCTGCCAAGAGATGCTGTGAGGGATTTTGTTTGCACCCAAATTCGGTATCCAGGCCTAGGCCACTGGTGGATGCTGTCTTTCAGGCCAGAGGGGGAGCACTGGGGACAGTACCCCTGCCAAGGCTTCCTAGGTCCCATGATGTACCTCCCTCTTCCTCTGGTCCCTCACCCCTCCAGGAGCTTCAGTCAGGCTGGAGACCTCAGGCAGGCTGCTTAGAGGGTAGTGATCTGAGACCCACTAGAAGGGCCCAACCTCTAAATCCTTCTCACCCCAATGGCTGTGGGTCTTCAGCTGGATGCCCTGTCCCAGGACCCATCTGATCAGGCTGTAGCATGAACACAGGAACCTTTTCACTGTCCTTCCCCACTGGCTCCCCAATGTTGGGCCTAGAGCAAGCACCCAGGAAACATTTATATTATGCATTAAAGGCTGTCTCCAGGGGCAGTAGTCCTGAGGCCCAGAGAGGGGTAGTAAAGTGCTCAAGGAGGCCTGGTGAAGTAGGGCCCAGCCAGAACTTTCCCGGGGAAAACTGAGAGCCAGGGCAGACACTCAGGCCTTATAGGTAGGGCACGAGTGGAGGGCAGTGCACGTTAGGGAGTGCTTTCAGAGAAGGGGAGAGGGCCCAAGGCTTGGGAACAGAGAGCTCAGGCAGAAAGTGGTTTGCCCTCTCTCAGAGTTGGCCAGTCACTAGGGCCCAACAGAAGCTCTTGAACAGACAAGAGTCTACGGCTAGAGTCCCAGAGCACCCCAGGTATCTGTCCCTACAGTGTCCAGAGGACAGAAGGCTCCATAGTTGAGATGAGGACTAGGGAGGGGCTCAGCTCCCTTGGGTTCAGTGATGGGGTCTCCGAGGTCCCCACTGATGTTTGGGCCTGCAGGAGACTCTCACCTTCTGCTGGGGCTGGGCGAGGCCCTGAGGTGGGGCATCATCTGTGAGATGGAGCCTGGGGTCTGGGCCCCGGGAAGTTTTGATGGCCCCTCTGAGCCATGCTGCCTGACAGACAGCCTTTCTGGGCCCCATTTCTAGACCACCCTGAGGTCTGAAGCCTTTGCCATGGAGACCCCTAGGCAGGGTGGAGGTTCTCTACGGAATGACTGCAGGCCCTTCTCAGTGTCAACTAAGCCAGCCTCCCAGTTGTCTCCAGGTGTCAGCACACTGGGGTCTTCCCTTTGCTGGCGTGGAGAGACCTGTCTTTTCTCCTCCTCATTCCTAGAATCTCACTGAGGGCCTGGCTTGAAGGCCTGGGCTGCCTCTGGGTCCTCATGTCTGTTCCCTTTGGAGCATTGACGAGCCCCTCTGTGGTTGGTGTCTGCTGCCCCGCGGTTCCCCTCAGCAGTCCAGGCCAGGGTCCTCACGGCTGCCCACTGTGACCAGCCCTCACTCCCACCCAGGCCTCTCAGCCGGCGCCCTCTGGCCTCCCATCCTCCTGTCCCTGCCAGGGGCCCCAGTGTCCACCGTCCATGCCTTAGCCAGATGAAGAACCACAGAGCACAGCTTCCAGCCTGTTGTCAGTGGCTCCTGGCAGCTCAGTAAACCAGGCAGGCACTGTTATTATCCCCGTTTACCAGATGAGGAACCCAGCCCTCAGGGAGGGTGAGTGACTGGTCTAAGGCCACACAGCCTTCAGCAAGCAGAGCTCAGACCAGAACCTGGTCTGTGATTCTGACACTGTGGGCTGAAGGCCTGGGGGAGCTCACTTGGAGACAGCTTGTCTAGAGTTGACCTGACTGGTTCTCAAAGCATGTTCCCCATAGTGGGTTTATGTGCCTAGCAAGCAGCAGCAGCAGATGCTTAGATGGTTGCTTGGGTCAGTGTTTTTCATTTTAATAATTGGTTTTGTTTTTTGTTTTGTAGTCTAGGAAAAGTATAATAGACATATCAATCTTATAACTTTATGGATTTTATTATTTAATTATCTTTATTCAGACAGAGCTAAATACAAAAGGGGCAAGTCAATTTTTTAAATTGAGCAGAGTGAGCATAATAATATTGCCAGTTCATGTGCAGAAAGAGGAGCAAACCTTGAGGCCTGAAGGGGGGACATGTATACTTGAAGTTGGGAAATAGTCATTTCATTCCTGCCTGGGTGCAAGGCCTGCCCAAGCAGCCAGGCTTCTGGGGTTGTGCCGGGGTGTCTGGCACCAAAGGGGAGCTGAAGTGGGTGGACCTTTCCACCTGGACTTTGGGTACCAGGACCAGGGGCTGTACTGGGCAGGGCCTGGCCCTCCTCCACATGACCACATTTAGCCCTCTGACTGCCTTCTTCTGTCCTTCCTTGTGTAGAGGAGATTGTCGCCCACGCCAGCAATGTGTCCTCGCTGGTGCTGGGCAAAGCCTCTGGGAGGCTGCTGGCTACCGGTGGAGATGACTGCCGAGTCAACCTGTGGTCCATCAACAAACCCAACTGCATCATGGTGAGCCTCGCTGAACGGTGGGAAACAGGACAAAGGTCCAGGGAGGAGACTGTGGGCAGGGTGGGGTCAGGGGTTGAGGAGCCTGGGGCACCCAGCCAGAGGCTAGGGGAACACAGCACGGCATCAGTGCCCCCAGGATGACTGGGATAGTGGCTGGCCCTCAGGAATGGGTGAGTCCCCTGGTGGTGGACAGAATTCCAGGGAGCCTATGCAAGAAAGCTAAAATAAGCCCATGGGCTGGAGATTGAGGCTTGCCCACTGGCCCATCCACCCACCTGTCAGCTGTACTTGGAGGTTACTTTGAATCATTCCCTGTCTGGTTGCACAGAAAGGATTTGAGAGCACTGGTTGAAGCTGATTAGAGAGCTGTTTCTTTAACAGCATTTTTCTCCTGGTCACACAACAAATTCCTTGCCAAAAACTGTCTTCCAAAACAGGGAAACATAAAGGAGGGAAAAATACAAAAATGAATTATATCTGTTTCCATCATCCAGAGACTGCTGCAGTTGGTATTTTGGTCCACATCCTTCTAGGTGCTGATAGAAATTCATATGCTTCCACACACCTGTACACATATACACATGTGCACACACATGCACACATGCACACGTGGGGACCACGTAAATATAGAACAACATATTTTTGGAACACTGTCTTATTCTTCTGTAGCCTGGGTTTCAAAGATAGCAATCTTTATCATGTGCGGGCATTTTCCGGTGTCAACAGATATCGTCCTAACACCGTGGTTTTTGACAACTTCATGGTATCCCAGTGTAGGCATGAGCCGGAATTGGCTTAGCCATGCCCTGTTCCCAGCAGAGAAGTCATTTCCAGCGTTTTGGCTCTGCTCAGCCACAGAGGTAAATGTCTTCATCGGCCCCAATCTTTGAGCAGATCTGTGATGGTTGCACTAAGGGTGTGCACTTTTTAAAAAGCTTTCAAAACATATTGCCAGATTGCCCTTTAGAAATCAGTTTACATCCTCTCCAGTAGCACCAGAACCTGCCCTCTCCTCCCTCGTGACCTTGCCAGCATAGGGTATTAACATTCTTCTGATCCAGGGCCCCAGGTGAAGAACAGAATTATAGTTGCTTTGTTTTGTTTCACTTTGTTTTCAGGGTCCTGGTGTGTCCCACCCTCACCCCCACGCCCAAAATGCCAAAGTAACATATACAGATTGGAAACACACCAACAAACACTGGCCAAAATGGGCCTGAAGGGACCCCCTGCTCTTGTCCCCCTTCTATACTGAAGTCAGCCTGTGTACCAGGCCTCTTGAGTGCTGCAAAGCCACCAAGCTCGTGCTCACCCTCGGATTTAGGCACATGCTAGCTCCCCTGCACACAGGCCACCTTGACCTGTTCACGTGTGTTTCTAAGCCTGTGTGAGCTCATGTCATTGTAGTACCCAAGGAACATGGAGGAAGCAGTGAAAAGCCATCTTTCCTCACCTGACGCCCACATCCCTCCGTGGGGACACCCACAGCTCCTGATGACCCTGTGTCTTTCCAGAATGATCTTTTGCATTTGTGAGCAAATATGTATGTCTGTTCCCTTCCCCCTCCATTTTTTTTTTTTTTACACAAACAGTATCCTATGTACATCATTCTCCACCTTTTTTCACTTACAAGTGTCATGGAGTTTAATCTTTTACATATTCAGATGGTCGCCTTATTCATTTTATAGCCATTTTTTTTTTAATTTTTATTTATTTATGATAGTCACTCAGAGAGAGAGAGAGAGAGAGAGAGGCAGAGAGGCAGAGACATAGGCAGAGGGAGAAGCAGGCTCCATGCTCCGGGAGCCCGATGTGGGATTCGATCCCGGGTCTCCAGGATCGCGCCCTGGGCCAAAGGCAGGCGCCAAACCGCTGCGCCACCCAGGGATCCCTTATAGCCATTTTTTTTAAAGATTTTATTTATTCATTCATGAGAGAGAGAGAGGCGGCGGGGGGCGGGGGCAGAGACACAGGGAGAGGGAGAAGCAGGCTCCATGCAGGGAGCCTGACATGGGACTCAATCCCGGGTCTCCAGGATCACGCCCTGGGCCGAAGGTAGGCGCCAAACCACTGAGCCACCCAGGGATCCCCCTTCATAGCCATTTTTATTGCCAAATATAGCATGAGTGACCACAGCTTAGCTGACCAGTTTCTCTGTTCGGCCTTTATGTGGCTTTGGGTCTTTTGTGAAAAAAGATTCACTGCAGCAAATGACCTTGGGTCTACTTTGTTTGCCATGTGTTTGAACACGTGCAGGGTCGGCCCCCAGGGATGGAGTTGCGGATGTGCAGGGGAGGTGCATTTCTAAATGTGGACAGATTTTGCCCAGTTCCCCTCCGTGGAGTTTATACCCATTTCTACTCCTGCCAGTGATGGCTGGGAGTCCCACAAGCTGCTTGTGACCGTCTGGCCTTTTGACATTTGTGCTGGGGAGCAGTTTCTCCTCCCATCTCCCTCCTCACCGCCCCACAGAAACATTGTCTTAGCAAACAATGATGGAGTCACCACTGTGCTTTGGGGTGACCAGTGCTGTGCGGGGAGTGACAGATGCCATGGACTTCAGATTCTGCCCTTCTCTCCAGAAAGCTGGAAATGCCAGCACCTCCCACCCCTCCAAGGGGCTGGGCCAGAACCCGCCTCAGCCCTGCTCCAGCTCTGGCCTACACTGAGTTGGGTGAGAGTTTTTTCCCAGTAAGGTCACTGCCAGGCTCTCTCTGGGTTCCACAGTTCCCCGCCCAGAAACATGGCAGGGTCCCCCACTGGGGCAGTCCCCAGGGATTCTGGCTCATCACCAGGAGGGGTGAGCTGTGTGCCATTGACGAGCTAGGCCTCAGTGCTGTTAGGGTTCCCCACCGAGGGACTTGGCCAGGCAGAGTGGAGATGGAAGCAGAGCTTCTGTTGGTGGTGGTTTGGACTCAAGGCTAGAGGGTCAGCTGCTCCCCGCAAGGGGCTCAGGGCCGTTTAGGCAAATGATGCCCATATCAGGGGCACAGTGGACAGTGGGAAGGTGTTGAAACACAAATGGGGTCTGGCCCACTTCTAGCCCTGCAAGCTAAGGCCAAGAGAAGCAACTGCCCAGCCTGTCTGCAGGAAAGCCCAGGTGTGGCTCCATGGAGCCTAGCATCCCTGCTTGAGCCTCTTGCTGATAACTCTTCCCAGGAAGCCAGAATTTGGGGCAGCAGCTGAGGGGTTCTCCACACAATGCACTGAAGCTGCCACCCTCTCTCCACAGAGCCTGACGGGTCATACATCCCCAGTGGAAAGTGTCCGCCTCAACACCCCAGAGGAGCTCATCGTGGCTGGCTCCCAGTCAGGCTCCATCCGCGTCTGGGACCTAGAAGCTGCCAAAAGTAGGCATCTGTGCTCGCCCTCCCCACATGTACACCTGTGGTTGTGTTGTCTCAGGCTCTGCTATTGAGCTGCTTCCTCCAGGAAGCCTGTCCTGACTGCATTGGGTACTTCCCTCCTGGAGACTCCCAGGAGTCTGGCAGCAGTGACATATACTGCTGTCTCTGCATGCCGACACCCGGGAGGCAGCAGGAAATTTCCAGATGGTCCACTATGGATGGGTGGGTGGGTGTAGATTCAGAACCTGAAAGAACAGCAGGTGCCACCAGGGGCCACGTGGAACATGTAAACAAGCTAGGAGGCCTGTGGGGAGAACTAGGGTGTGTGCCCTGACGTGGGGCGGCTGCCTCTTAGCCTCAGTAACCATCGCCCACCGGAATGGGGGCTAGGGTGGCCAGATCCTCTGTTGAGGATCCTTGAACTTTGTTTTCATTCAGTTTTCATCTTTGTAGAAGTTATTTTAGTTTAAAAAGTCAAATGGAATAACTGCATTCTATTCTACAAATAACTGCAATGGAAAGGAGAAGCCTTCACCCCACTCCTTCCCATTCTGCAGAGGCCTCGGCCTTCTGTTCTTCTACCCCGTGTCTTGCTACCTCCGCTTTTCTAAGTGACATGGTATTATGGCAATTCCTGTCTCTTGTGTACGTCTTTTGCTGCCTCCCTCTCGTACAAGACAAGTTAGCTCTCTTAAGGGTGCCTGGCTGGCTCAGCTGGTGGAACACGTGTCTCTTGACCTTGAGGTTGTCCGTTTAAACCTCATGTTGGATGTAGAGATTACTTACAAAAATAAAATCTTAAAAAGAAGTGAGCTCTAAAGCTGTCCCCCCTCCCCCGCAGTCACTTCCAGCATTGCCCCACTGTTCTCCTAATTTCACCATGTAAAGAGTCAGGGTTTGTAGTACCAGGACCATAGAGATATTATTCACAGCCACAGAATATTATAATTCTGGAGTTAATAATTGTCCTTTCTCACCTGTATATGTTATACATTTTTGTTACTAATTCATCCCCAAATTCTCTGCCAGAAGAGTAAGCCTCCTCCTTGAGCTACTCTCAAAGCCATCCCATGAAGGAGGCGTCTCTTCTCATCAGAGCCTCGGTCCCCTGGGTCCCCATGGTGGGGGAGTACCTGGGGCCTGCAACCCGGTGGTCACCTTGGGGCCGCCTTGTCTTCGGGGAACTCTCCCCGTCTCTCTGCTGTGCCAGAGTCCGCATTATCATCTCTCTCAGTCTTCTGTCTCTTTTTTGCCAGAGCTTGTTCTTTCATAGCTGGCTGAGAAAGCATGCGTGAAGCATGCGTGACAGGCACAGTTTTAGAGGCTATCCGTGGCTGGAAATGACTCTATTCTACCCTCATCCTTTTATTTTAAATCTATTTTTTAGAGTTTGTAGAAGTCTCGATCAGAAATTGTTTTCCCTCAGAAGTTTGTGGGTGCAGCTGTGTTGCAAGTTAGGCTCCTCTTTGGCAGCCATCGGGAGGTCCCTGCTGTCACCTCCTGGGACCTGCCTCTCCTGTCTCTCTGCAAGGCCCTTTGTCTTGGAGTCCTGGGGTTTTGTAGTGATGGTTCTTGGTCGTATGCTAGATCCTTGCTGGGTTCTTTCGGCAAGTAAACTTGCATCTTTGGTTCTGGGCCATGTGGGGAGCCTCACCTTCCTGAAAAGGGGACGCTACCTCTCAGCCTCTCTGGGTACAGCCACATTGCAGTGTGGGCCCAGTGTTGCCAGCCATACGAATTTTTCAAGAGAAGCTGAGAATCTGGAAATTTCAGTGGAATCCACCCCCCACCCCCACCACTGTTTCTAAATGTTGACAGCTAATTCAACGTTTTTTTCGGAACACTATGCAGAGCAGCACTGAGAGGTCCTAGTAAACCTCTTTGCTCACTGCTTTTTGCCAGCATCTAGCCTGGACCTTCCAGCATGCCAAGCAGGAGGCCCCCCTGCTGTTTTTTTTCCGGAAAAGAGCCCCTTTGCCTGTTTGAGACTCAGAAGTCTCTGGGCCTCTCCTGCACTTGTGTTCTACCTCTGTAGCAGGACAGCAGCCATCAGCCGCACAGGCCCAGTGGCCGGGTTCTCTCTGCTCAAGGACGGGGCTCTTCTTGCATAGGTGGTCCCCAAGAGAGATGTTGCCCCTGGGCTTCTCGGGTGATCCTCGCCCACCCAGGGATGGGCTGCATGTGCGAGACAGAGCCCGTGAGATAACAAACCGGGCCACAGGCTTAGCATCTCAGCACGTGTTCCTGCCACCTGGCTATGTGCCAGAGCCGGGGCACGCTGTGCTTGGCTGTTGCTGGACTCAAGGAGCCAGGGAGGAGCACGCCCCGGCTGGCTGGGCTCCAGCTGAGAAAGCCGGCTCCGGCAGAAGGCAGCTGGCTTCCTGGGAAGTCCCTGCCTGCATCTGAAGCCCAGTGGACAGCACCAGCCATTCACCATTCACTGAGGAGCAAGGGACAGAAGAAAGAAGCCAAGGGTGCCATGCTTTCCCAGCCAGGGCTCCTTCATACATAAGAGAAATGTGAGGAGTTCCTTGAGGTGGGCGCAGAATGAGAACCAAAGACCTCTAGAGTTCCTGGGTCCTAGACTCTCAGGGTCGGCTGCTCCACCGGGAGCTCATTACAAGCAGAGAGCCTGACTTAGTAGTGGTGGAGGCCCCAAAACCTGCTTTCCAGATGACTCTGATGCAGAGCTGGATCGGCAGCCTTATTTGACACACAGCCAAACTGGGGCCCAAGGTGGGCCCCCAAGCTTGATAAAGACCCCATGGCAGGGGTGGCAGAGCCTGGGACTCAAATCCTCGCATCCAGACTCTCATCCCAGTGCTGTTCCCTCTCCCAATTTGGGGTTCGGTGATGGATCAGAAACCTGCCCTCTGCAGCCTTGGTGGGAAGAGCTGAGACCTCAGGCCGCCACCCACACACCACAGTGTGAGTGAGGATGACAGGCAGATCGGCACCCCTTGCGGAGGGACTTCTGAAAGGGCCACCTGATGGTCACGTGCATTGCCCTGAGAGGCAGCCCATCCCGACTCAGGCAGAGGTTGAACAGCTGCTCAGCTGGGAGGGCTTGGAGGTCCCCACGCAGGGCAGATGGCAGACCCAGGATGCCCGCCACCCCGGATCCTCTGACTGAGTCCCACAGCAGGAGGCTTCCAAGAGCACTCCTGGGACAGAGGAGCAGGGGCAGAAGTCACGCCGGAAGAATGTGGTCCTGCCTGCTTTCCACCGCACAGCCAGAGGGTAGGGGTGGGTCGGCCCTGCCATGCCACGGGGAGGCAGCCTGTGTTTCATGAGTCTGGTCCACACAGGGGTGGAGCCTGCCATGTCCCATCGGGGCAGGGCAGGATCGGGGAAGCCCAGTGGGCTGGGGCAGGAACCAGCCTGCGTCTGCACCCTCTGGGCCCGACTTGGCCCGCAAAGCAGTGCCTGGGCCCCGAGGGCGTATGCCGGCCCCAGAGAGTGGGGAGGAGCTGCTGAGGTCCTGGTGTGGTTGGCGCCTGTCTCACTCTGTGAAGGATGTAATGGTGGCTCAGTCCCAGCTCGGCAGCGGACAGGGCCTGCTGCGGAGTGGCACCAGGTCGGAGGGGTGGATGTGGTGGGCCATGGGCAGAGGTAGGCACTTTTGTCTCGAGGCAGGTAACGGCCAGAGCAGCTGATTTGATCCTGCCCTTAGGTGTGTCTGGCTCTGTCTTCGGAGCCCAGACAGAGGAGCTCCCTTGACTCAGGTAAAGGGTCACATGGTAAAGCATGCTTCTTGAAACTCCAAGACTCTGAGACTCCGATGCCTGCTTTGAATTCTGGCTCTGTGCCCGCTGATCGGCCTGAGGCAAGCTGCTTCATCCTCTGAGCCTCAGGCTGTCGCCCACCTCCTGGTGGTGTTTGGGGGTGGGGGAGCGAATGTGCTGAAGTCATTCAGGCTGTTCTCGGCACATTGGAAGCGCTCAGCAGACATCCTGGGGACGACGGAGGCACTCAGATGGCCATGGCACTGGGTAATGGTCACCACTGGTGCCAGAAGACAGGGAACCAGGACATGTGCTCTGAGACCAGAGGAGAGAAGGTTCACTAAGGTGAACCTTTCTTTCTCAGGACAGAAAGGAGTTAGAGCAGGAATCACTGTAGCTGGTGTTCACTGAGCACTTCCTATGTGCACACCTGTGCTAAGCACTTGATGTCCATTTTCTTAACTCTGATGTGGCCCATTATGAGGCTCAGAGAGGGTAAGGGATTGCCCAGGGTCACATAGCAAGCAAAGAGCAGAGCCAACACCGCTCCCAGTTCTGTCTGGCTCCAGAGCCCTGGACCTGAACCTTGGAGATAGAAACAATCATCCAGTAGAGTTTAAGTCACTCAGGGCTTGGAGCTCAGCTCTCTCGTCCCAAAAGCATTACATTTGGAGTCTGCTTGAACACCTCCTCTAATGGGGAGCTCATTACCTCACAAGGCAACTGTTTCACCTTGGCTCAAACCTGAGGATGGCTGGATTCCCACACCCCTTGGCCCCTGCACATGTGGGACCATCAGGTTCGTTCAGACAGCGGAATTGTAAATGTTTTAAAAAGTGAATTGAGGCCAGAGAGAAGAGGCAAATTTGAGTGGTACCAGGGAATACTCCGAGAAAGAAACACAGGCTTTGCCTGGGCCAGGCTGGGCTGGGCTGGGCCTGGCCACGGAGCTGCAAGCAAAACTTTGAAGGATGGGAGCTGAGGTTTCCCAGGGCAGCAGGAGGTGACTGGGCCCAGTCATGTCCCCTGTGTGTTCTCTTGGTTTGCACAGCACCTTCTGTCCTCACAGCCATCCTCAAGATCCCTTGGATGGAGGGGAGAAGAAGGTGCTGTTGTGAGCACCACGGCGACTCCAGGCATGGCCTCCATTTGCCCTCCTTGGGGCCTTTGCCTGCCATTTCCTTATGCCTAATATCCTCCCTCACCCTCCACTCACTGACAGTCCACTCAACTACCACGTCCTCCAAAAAGCCTTCCTGGGTTTCTCTTTTCAACCAAGTAGCTTGTCCCCCAGCACAGACCTCTCCCACATCACTCCTCTGTCTCAGCTCTGAGGATGTCGGCAGAACATGAGCTGTGTGTCTGTCCACGAATGGAGTACAGTAGCTTTCCAGCCCTGCTGGCTTGGGGGCGGTGCCCTTGTGAGAGCGCAAGCTACAGGGGGCTTGGGTACTGACAGAAATGGCTGTCATCTCTCGGGAGAAAAAGAGGAAGGTCAGTAGTTGGGGTGGTAGGGCTCTGCTCAATTTGCTGTTGTGGTTTTCTGTGCAGTTGCTTGGAAGCACACGCACAAGTGAACACAGCATTCCCTCCTCGGCCAGGCATCTGGCTTGCCCCTCACACCCCTGTCTCCTCTCTTCCTTGCTAGTTCTTCGCACGCTTATGGGCCACAAAGCCAACATCTGCAGCCTGGACTTCCACCCATATGGCGAGTTTGTAGCCTCGGGTTCACAGGACACAAACATCAAGGTGAGGCTCGGCCCTGCCCCATGTCTCCCCGCTGGGCCACCCGGGGGCTCCAGGCTGTGTGTCTGGCCTGTGGAGGTGGCCTCTGGGCACCGTGGGAGGGTCCTCCCTCTCTCTGGCGGAATCTCCAGCCTCCAAGGGAGGGGATGTGGAAAACGTTCGCCAGACATTTCCACTCAGAATGCCCAGCTTTTGTGAGCAGTTTCCGGATCCCTGTCATTTGGGGGCGTAATGACCTGGGGGTGCCCAGAACCCCTCTCTGCTTGTGTCCACGTACCACCCTCTGACCTGGACTCCCGGACAGAGCTTGGTGAGGGCTCTGCAGCCTGAGCCCACCTTGGCTGTGACCTGGCCTGACGGCTCCTCTGCTCCTCCCCCACAGCTCTGGGACATCAGGAGGAAAGGCTGTGTCTTCCGATACCGGGTAAGGAAGGCACCCTTGGTGGGTCATGCTGTGAGCAGCATTGGAGCATGGGGCGGTACCCAGACCTTGGCAGGGGCTGGAAGGGAATGCTTTCCCCCATAGGGGAGAATGTGAGAAACGAGAGTCCAAGTGAGATACGAGGATCTAGAGCAGAGCAAGAATGCTATGGGGGGTGGGGGGGGGCGGAACCTGGATCCCCCACTTTCCACAAATCCTCCCAGAACCATGTTTACCAAACTGCACTCCACGCTCTGGTGGTGTGGGAGGTGAAGAGGGTTCCTGTTCACAGGTGTTTGGAAGCACTGAGTTGAATAATTTGGTTGGTTTTTAGACCCTTGACATTAAGGCAGGACACCTAACTCTCCAAAAAAGAGGCATAAGATACGTTGTTCCCCAAACTGTATGACCAGGAAATCTGGATTTCCCGCGGAGTCGTGACTGCTGGTGGAGGTGTCCCCCCTGACCTCTCCTGCACACAGCCGTCTGGCTCTGCCTCGCCTGCTGGTCAAGGGCCCGGTGGAGCAGGGTGGGGAGGCGGGCAGCCCATCGGGCCCAGGCCCCTCCAGTGAGCCCAGCACCCTGTCGTCTTCTCAGGGACACAGCCAAGCTGTGCGATGCCTCCGGTTCAGCCCTGATGGGAAGTGGTTGGCATCGGCTGCAGACGACCACACAGTGAAGGTAACTCCTGGCCTGACCAGGGCCTGGGGCTGGGGACTGGGGCCTGCTGAGTGCACTCAGCCTGGATCTGCACCTCCCTCCTGATCAGGCTCACATATCCCAGGCCTATCAGATGGAAAGGCGGCTTGCAGATAAAGAGCACGGGTGGGAGTAGAGGGAGAGTGGGCAGCCGAGATCCCAGGCCTGGTCCTGACCTCCAGCCCGCCCTGTCCCAGCTCTGGGATCTGACTGCTGGCAAGATGATGTCCGAGTTCCCTGGCCACACAGGGCCTGTCAATGTGGTGGAGTTTCACCCCAATGAGTACCTCCTGGCTTCCGGCAGCTCTGACAGGTGAGGAAAAGGAGGGGGAACAAGGCTTGTCACCCATGACTGCCATCTCACACCTGTGTCCTCTGTGTGTGTCTGTCCCAGTCTGTCTCTGCCCTGAGGTGTCCTATGCCTGATGATGTTCTGTAGACTGACCTGACTTCCGGCCAAGCCAGGATGAGGCCCTGATCCCATCTCTCCCCCAACCCTGGTTCCCCGGCCCCAGTGTCCTGGGTTGTCATGGCATATCCAGATCCAAAGTCCATGCTAACCTCCCACCTGCCAAATCCCTCCACCTGCCATGCAATCCCATGCATTGCTCTTAGTGGCCACAACCCAGGGGGACAGCTGTTTGCAGAGAAACGGGCTTCCTGGGCTATGGGCCTGCATGGGGGTTGGATGGGGACACCGGCTACCCAATATAGCCTGGCTGCCTTTGCAGGACCATCCGGTTCTGGGATCTGGAGAAGTTCCAGGTGGTGAGCTGCATCGAAGGAGAACCAGGGCCTGTCAGGTATGCAGGCAGCTGGGTGGTGGGTCTGAGCCCTCCTCCCAAGGTGGTTGGATGTGGGTATGGGGCAGGGGTGGGCCGTTCCCATCACCACTCCTGCTCCCTCTGTCCGGGGCTCCCTACAGCCTTCCTGGATTTCTTGAGAACCACCCCCCACTCTCGCCTGCCCAGGAGCGTCCTCTTCAACCCCGATGGCTGCTGCCTATACAGTGGCTGCCAGGACTCACTGCGCGTCTACGGCTGGGAGCCTGAGCGCTGCTTTGACGTCGTCCTAGTCAGCTGGGGCAAGGTGGCTGACCTGGCCGTCTGCAACGACCAGCTGGTGAGAGAGCTGCCACCTGCCCTTCCCCTGGCTGCTCACCGCCTCCCTCTCAGGCCCCTGCTTCCCCCCTGAGCCCTGCTGGGGTCCTGCGCACCCACACCCCAGCTCCGCCACTTCCTGCAGATAGGCGTGGCCTTCTCCCAGAGCAACGTCTCCTCTTATGTGGTGGACCTGACACGGGTCACCAGGACAGGCACGGTGGCCCAGGACCCTGTGCAGGACAGCCGGCCCCTGGCACAGCAGCCGGCCCACCCCAGTGCCCCTCTTCGGCGCATCTATGAACGGCCCAGCACAGCCTGCAACAAGCCTCAGAGGTGGGGTGCTCAGGGCCCAGAGGGCTCGGGAGGCAGGCTAGCACTGGGGAGGTTTTGGGGGAGCCCAGCTGCAGCTCACTGGGCTGGCCTCCCGTTGCCTTGGCCCTGCCCCACAGGGTGAAGCAGAATTCAGAGAGTGAGCGCCGAAGCCCCAGCAGCGAGGACGACCGGGACGAGCGGGAGTCTCGGGCCGAGATCCAGAACACCGAGGAATACAACGAGATCTTCCAGCCCAAGAACAGCATCAGTGAGGCCTGCCCCCCGCCCCCGACCCACCTAGCCGAATGTCCCATCTGTGCATAGAGACAGACGGTGCTTTACAGGGACAGTGTCAATGTCGCTCTGTTTCCGACACTGGGTTCCCAGGTCACACCTGGGCCCCGGCTCCGTTCCCAGGTCCTCAAGGCCCCAGAAGAGGCCTGGCAGCCCACCCTGAGCAAAGGCAGACCCCATGGGGGCAAGTAGATGGGAGGGGGCAGACCTGAGGGTTCCTGGGACCGGGAACAGGGTCACGAGTCTGCAGCTGTGTGTGTACCAGAGAGCCACCTCCCATCCCCCGTGTCCCAGGCCAGCCTGGCCCTTAAGGCTCAGGCAGGACCCCGGGCTGGCCAACGGGAGAGTTCCCAGCCCTCTTTGCCTCTGCAGGTCGGACACCACCCCGAAGAAGTGAGCCCTTCCCAGCACCCCCTGAGGATGGTGAGTACAGAGCCTGGCCTCCCAGGGGCACCAGCTCCAGCCTCTCTCCCACCAGATCCTTTTCCTGTGCTCACCTAAAAGCACCTACTGTGCGCTGGGCTCCACCCTAGGTTCTGGTGCATGAGCAAGGCAGGCAGGTGCTGTCCTCAGGAGCCTGCACCCTAGTGAGGAGGGCAGGAGGCAGCCAGATGAGACTGTAGATGGGACTGTCTGTAGATGGGACAGCACCGTGGAGGCAAGGGCGAGGCTGGTGAGAGAGGGCTGCTGAGGGCCTGCAGGAGAGGGAGGAGCTGGGGAGAGCCACAGGTGGGGAGGGGGTGGAGGCAGAGGGGCAGGGCTCCCTGGGGTCTGGAAGCAGGAAGCCAGGCCCTAGCTGGGGATTTGGGTTTTGCTGCTGGGAGAAAACATGATCTGATTTCTGATTGGAGAAGACGCCGGGGTGGGGCACCCTTGTCCCACAGACCAGCCCTCCCCTTCACCTGGCTTCCTCTTCAATGGGCCATCTTCTCATTCCCCCTGCACGTGGGGTTTCCTGTGCTTCCTGCTCACCATGCACTCACTGCCAGCCTACCCCAGCACACACACTCCATTCCCAGTGAGGGGACAGGCCGCTCCTGGGAACTCCCTGGCTCCCATCTGCAGGCAGTGCTTGACACCTGCTTTCTGCCAGATTTGTGGGTGAGTGGGTGGAAAGGGAAAGAACATCTAGCCCCCACCCTCAAGCCTCCCCAGGAGTCTCCCCACCTCTCTGGCCCCCTCACCCCCCACATATACACTGCTGCTGTCTCCTTCCCCAGTTGCCCCAGTGGCTCCTGCTTCATCCCCCCAGTTAACAGATGCAGCCCAGAGGCCCACCATAAGCCCCGTTTTCTTCCCCCGCCAGTTCCTCTGGCCTGACCCAACCCAGAGATCTTTCCCTTTTGCCTCCAGACATGGCCACAGCCAAGGAGGCGGCAAAGCCCAGCCCAGCCACGGACTCGCAGTTCCCGGTGCCAAATGTATGTCTGGGTGGAGAGGGCATGGTAGGGCTGGGAGAGGGGCCCTCCGTGCCAGGGTGGGCGGAGAGGGGGCCTCAGGCTGGCCACCCACTGAGCTCCGGGCCCCAACAGCTCGAGGTCCTGCTCCGGCCCCCGGCTGTCACTTCCACTCCTGTGCCCAAGGCTGAGCCTGCCATCATCCCAGCTACCCGGAATGAGCCCATCGGGCTAAAGGCGTCTGACTTTCTGCCCGTGAGTGGGGGCCCAGCCCCGGGGCAGGGTGGAAGCCTGCGGGTCAAGGACAGAACGTCACCGTTGGCACCTGGGCACTCGTCCTACGCAGGCCGTGAAGATCCCCCAGCAGGCGGAGCTGGTCGACGAGGACGCCATGTCACAGATCCGCAAAGGCCACGACACCATGTGTGTGGTACTTACCAGCCGCCACAAGAACCTGGACACCGTGCGGGCTGTGTGGACCACGGGTGACATCAAGGCAAGCACTTTTCCCCCAGGCTTTGGGCTGACCCCAGAAAGCGGCTGCACAAGGGCAGAGGGGCCCCTGTCACCACTCTGGCGGATTTCATGCCATCATCGTCATCATTTATTGAGCGCTTCTTTACGGGCCTGGCCTCACCCATCATTTTAGCTACAGTCTTGTTAACACCCCACAACAAAGCCCATCATGACGCCACTCCCCGGGCAGGGGCTCCAGGCCCCTCTGACAGGTGCTCTGTTTGCATAGATGTCAGTGGACTCGGCTGTGGCCATCAATGACCTGTCCGTGGTCGTGGACCTCCTTAACATTGTCAACCAGAAAGCGTAAGTAGGCGGCGTGGTGGGCGGAGTGGGTCGAGTGAGTGGAGCCAGGTGCTGAGAGTACCTGTCCCTGATCCTCTCCTCAGCTCCCTGTGGAAGCTGGATCTGTGCACCACGGTCTTGCCGCAGATCGAGAAACTTCTGCAGAGCAAGTATGAGAGGTACATGTAGGGAAGCCATACCCGCCTCACCACAGGGACGGGGAGGGACAATGGGAAGGACCCCCCAAGGCCAGTGCCCGTGGGAGGTGGGTGTGTAGCACTGCTGTCCCCTGCAGGTGGGAGGCCATGGTGCACACAAGCCTGTGCTGCCCCTGGCCCCCTGCCTACCCCCTCTGTCTTTGTGTACCTTGTTCTCTATCTTTCTCTCTGTGGCTCTGTCCATCTGCCTCTGAAGCTATGTCCAGACCGGCTGCACCTCCCTGAAGCTGATCCTGCAGCGGTTTCTGCCCCTGATCACTGACATCCTAGCAGCACCCCCCTCTGTGGGTGTAGACATCAGCCGGGAGGAGAGGTGAGGGGCCAGGTGGGGTGTGAATGTTGGGGTACACAGGTCTGGGGGCCCAGCCTGCTTGCTGATGGCTCTGCTGGAATAGCCCACAGAGGAAGTTGTGCCTGGGCTTGTCTGTGGCCCGGCCTGGGTGGGTCCTGTACCCTGGGCCTCGGCCAGCCTCCCAGAGGAGGGCGGGAGTAGTTCGGCAGGAAAGGGCCTAGCCCTTCGTGCACTACTTCTCTGCCCACAGGCTACAGAAGTGCCGGCTCTGCTACAAGCAGCTCAAGAGCATCAGTGGCCTCGTCAAGAGCAAGTCAAGTTTGAGTGGCCGTCATGGCAGCGCTTTCCGAGAGCTGCACCTACTCATGGCCAGTTTGGACTGAAGAGCTCTCGGCCTGGCCTCAGCCCCTAATCCTGTCCCCTGTGCGCTCCTGGGCCCAGGAGCCTCTGCCCAGCCCCCGCTGCAGCCCTGTGCCACCCTGGAGGCGGCAGCGCTGGCCCACCAGCCACCTGCACAGCCCCCAAGCTCTCAGACAACTTCTCCCCAGCAGCGGCTGCCCAGCTTTGCCAACTCCCGCTTCTTGGGGCAGCAAAGAGCGCCCTGGGGCTGCTGCTGTAATTTATAAGGTCAATTTTATTAAATTTGTAACTATTCCCTGGTTTCTTTGCCTGGAGGGGAATTCTCTGGCCACGCAGCTCAGCTCGGTCAGGCCCAGGACTGGCCTGTCTTGGCCCCTCGGAGCCAAGAGGCAGTGTGGCCAGCAGGGGGCAGCAGAGTGCCCGGCCTGCCGGAAGGGGCCAGTGCAGAGCACGCTGGGGGAGGAGCAGAGGCACCCGCCTCTTCCAAGGCTAAGGGAGACTGGAGAGGGGTGGGCCCCACCAGCCCATCCCCTCCGCCTCAGCCACGCTCCCAGCTGTCCTGCGGATGCCTCAGGGACCGGCCGACAGCTGTATGCTTCCAGGTGCCGGGACCCCAAGCCTCACAGGCTTGGCCACCACTGAGCCCACCACCCTCCCCAACGCCTCCAGGAGGCCTCCTGGGACAGGGCTGGAAGGGCAGTGGCCCTCCTCCCAGGAGGATCCCCCAGCGCTGACCCCTTCTGCTCCTGTGGCAGCCCTAGTTGGAGAGAGGGCCCCACTGAGCCCCTGTGCACATTCCCTGCTGAGGCCAAGGCGGGACCAGGTGGAGGCCAGCACAACCCCCATGGGGTTGGGGAGGGCAGTCCTGTAGCCCCAGGAAGAGGGTGGTACCCACCCCTAGCCAGTTCCCTTAAGGGGCCAGCCCAGCCCTGCTGGCTATGGTGCTCAAGCCTCTGAAGAGCCCAAGTTTCCCATGTACAGACAGGACAGCGTGTTGCTGGGTGGGTCCGTGTGATGAGCGTGGCCAGGGGCACTGGATCCTCTCGGTCGTGGCCTTCACGAGATCTCAGGAGGGCTGTGGGTGACCAGCCAGCAGCGGGGAGCCAAAGACCGGGGCTTGTCCCTGTGATCTGACCAGGGGCTCAAGAGACCCAACTCTCAGACTATCGTTGTGTAAAAAGGTTTTTATTTTAATAAGTAAAAATGGCTAAGCTTCCAAAAGTTCTTAAATAGGATTTCAGAGGAGGAAAATGTCAAGAGGCCAGTGAGCAAGGTGAGAGCCTGGTGCCAGGCAGATGAGGGGAGCAGCAGGATCCCCACCCACTGGCCTCCCACCAGCCATAAATACAGCCCAGCCCTCGGCAGGGAGGGCCATGCTCCTATGTACACCTAGTCACACTATACACATACCCGCTCGGGGCCTGCCTCGGAGGGGAAGGGGGCCAGGGCTGCCCCAGCGTGCCCACCGACTGCCCAGATCCACGGCTCCTGGGCCTGCTGGGGGCTCCTCAGCCCACCCGTTACAGACAGGCCCTGCAGGCTGGAGCGAGTTGGCCCAGGCCAGAGGCCCAGCCTCCCACACTCCTGCCCTCCCCACGAGGATCCGCTGATGGCCCGGGCCTGCCAGGCAGAGTGGGCCATCCCTGCCCTTCCAGCCCGGGCCTTTTGCACCCACACCCACTGCCGAGAGACACCATTTCCTTTGGAACATGTTTTCTCATTTCTGAGTGGATACGAGGCAGAAGAGGTGCCTCCACTCTGGCCTTCGCCTCCTGGGCTCTTGGTGCTACAGCAGGTGGATCCAGTCCCCGGTTTGGCAGGGTGGATGCGTCCGTCACACAGGCACCGGCCTGGACTTCCCTGCAGGAGCGGGAAGAGGCTTCGTCAGCCTCTGTGCACGCGATCGGGAGGGAGCCAGGGAGAAGCACAGACAGCAGGCAGCAGCAGGACAGGCCCGGCCCTGAGCAGCCCTCTCCCCGGCACAGCCCTGCAACCCAAGGCAGGCGGGCAGGCGGGCCCGGGCCCCTGGCCCCACACTCACCTGGAGACTCTGCAGCCCCAGCCGTCAGGCTGAAATCAAAGCAACAGGTGTCTCACTGGTGGGCTTGCCTGGGGCTGGGACTCCCCGGGACCCTGTGGCCCCTACCTCCTTGGACTCCAGCCCTTGCCAGGCCCTCTGTGAGTGTGGGGCCACTCAGAGGGCTGGGGTTCTGGATGCCAGGCCTGTGGCTGGGCTCACTCCTCACCTGGGACATGGGTGGGCCCTGCCCTTCACCCTCCCTCCCCAGGAGTCCAGGCCCAGGGCAGGGGTGCCTGGAGACCAGCCTCAGAGAATTGCCTCCTGGGCCTCAAATCAGCAGCCCTGCTAGGAGCCCCGAGGTCTGGGTTCCCCTTATGCTACCGCCTCTCCAAAGGGCCTTTGACTTCCCATCTGTAAAATGGGCCTAGCAGTGTCCTGTCCTGACTACTTCCTGACTACTTCCCAGGGCCAGAAAAGGTTGTATAACAGGTTCTGGAGGACTTTTATAAACTTTAAAAAAAAAGAAAAGAAAAAAAAAGAAAAGTCCATTCAGGCAAGGGCAGTCTGGTGGCTATCCACCTGTAAGGAGGCTCACCCCCACCCCCACCCCCACAGTGGCCCCTTCCCCAAAGGCTTACCCAAGGGCTGCAGCTTCCTCCGGATAGAGCCTGGGCGGCTGGTGGTCCCAGAGCCAGGGGCTGAGTGTGCCCGTGCTGAGGGCTGTGGGGTCTGGCAAGCTGGCTCCCACTGTGGGCAGGGGTGAGCAGGTGGGCAGGGGCCATGCTGCCCTGGCTCCCCCCTTCACCGTGCTCCACCCCTGCATTCCCCTCCCCAACCTCCTGCAAACTGGGTATGACAAGGTGAGCCCCACCTTGTTACTGAAGGAATTAGCTGAGATAATGGATGTTAAAGGGCCATGAGCTACTACTGAGCACCTGCGTGCCAGCCTGCAACCCGCCCGCCCCGCAGCCAGCTGAGGACCACCACAGGGCGCTCTGAGGCTAAGAAGTGTTTAGACGAGAGAAGCCCCTGGCAGGGGAACCTGGTGGCTCAGCCAGTTAAGCATCTGCCTGCTAAGCATCTGCCTTCGGTTTGTTTGTAACAATTTATTTACTTATTCATGAAAAAGAGAGAGGCAGAGACACAGGCTGAGGGAGAAGCGGGCTCCGTGCAAGGAGCCTGACGGGGGACTCGATCCCGGCCTCCAGGGTCACGCCCCGGGCTGAAGGCAGGCGTTTAACCACTGAGCCACAGGGATCCCTGCCTTCAGTTTAGGTCATAATCCTGGGATCCTGGGACCAAGCCCGGAGTCAGGCTCCCCACTCAGAGCTAGTCTGCTGCTCCCTTTCCCCTACCCCCTGCCACCTCCTCGCTCCTGTGCCCACACTCTCTCCCCCACCCCTCCTTAAATAAACAAAATATCTAAAATAGTGAGGCTCTTGGGTTCAAGTTCTGGCGCCAGCCCCTTCTGGCATCCTCCCTTCCCCACCACCCCAGGCTGTCCCCCAACCCAGGCCCTCCTTCCTGCCCACGACAGTCCCTATACCTCCAGATGCTCCTGGCTAGACCAGGACCCGAGCTCTGCCCTGCGGGACCCAGGGCCCAGCTCCACAGAGCGCACCCTCTCAGCGAACTTCAGGGAGTACAGAGTCTCACTGGTGTTCTTCTCCACAGGGGACACCTATGGGACACAAGAGCTCACACCCCGGCCAGCGGGCCTCCTCCCCCACCCCCAGAATTGGGAAGGGCAGCATGCTCACTGACTTTGGAGCTGCTGAGGGAGGACAAGGGTCCCTTCCCCACACAGCCTGGGGAGCCTGGGCCGCAGAGGAAGGGGGTCTCCGGTCGTGCTGCTGGCCGAGCCCTCCCAGCCTGAGCTCACCAGAGGTCCTCACCTGCACCACCATGAGGGTCTTGCTGTCCCCACTGAGCGAGTCCTGCAGCAGGTAGGTAAGCTTAGAGTTGCGGAAGGGCACATGGCCCTGGCGGGAGCGCAGGGCCGCAATGACGTCCCCCAGAGCCGACAGCGACTTGTTGATGTGCTGTGCCTCCCGCAGGCGGCTGCCCTCAGCCCCCGACTTGCCCACGCGCTCCGAGCCCGCCAGGTCCACCAGGTTCAGTTTCCCTGCAGGGGGGCAGAGAGGAGCCGGGCAGGTCAAGGCGGCCCCCGTGGGGGTGGTGCCAGGGGTCCTCCAGCCAGGCCGCCCGTGGCCCTCACTCACCTGTGGTGCGCAGGCCAGTGCTGCAGTCCACCCCGCGCACTGTCACGATGAGCAGGGCGTGCGAGCGGGAGCTGTGCTCATTCAGGTTGGTGAACTCTGTGGTGCGGTTAGTGTGGCCAAACTCAAACACCTGGCAGGGAGCGGGGAGGACAGGAGCACAGGGTTTGGAGTGAGATCTCTGCTGCCACCCTATCCCCAAGTACCCCTGTGAGGGGTCCCCCGGGCGTGGGACTTGCCCATGCGAGTCCCGTGCCAGCTGGGCTCTGCCAGTGGACTGGGTCTCCCCAGCACTTCCTGAACCTCCCCAGGCACCCCGGCCTTGCACCTTGTTGATATCCGCCACGCTCTGCACCTGGAACTCGGTCAGCCCTGGCACGTACAGCTGCCCGCTGCCGTCAGGGCACAGACGGATCTCCAGCTTCTCCTGGGGCTCCTGCCCCAGCAGGTCCCTGCAGGGACAGGCTGGATGGTCACTCCCTCCTCCCACCTCTGCTTGCACTGCACCCTGCTCCCCCTCCACCTGGAACACCCCCGCACACCTGGATCGCTCCCCCACCCCATCGCACCTTCAGGCAGCCTTCCTTAACCACTGGGCCAAACCCCTCTCTCCTCCAGCCCCTCCCTGACAGTCTGCTGAGCGGCAGAGACTGAGTGTTCCCCCAAAGTCTTGTGGCGCCACTCCTGCCCTAACGGTGCACTAAGCTCTTGTGGGCGGGGCCCCCCCAAATCCCCATGCTCATTTATCAACACCTGGTGCAGCCTACAGGGACAATGAGTAGACAGAGAGGCAAGAGGAGCACCTCCGTCTGGTCTGGACATCCTTCTCCCTGACGCCTGCTGGTGTGGGGCAGGGGCCTGGGACCACCCTGCCGCAGGGCTGAGGCAGGACCATAGCCCCGACTCCGATCTGCATCCCACATGGCTCTGCACAGCCCTGAGGACCACGAACCACCCGGAGGCCTGTGCCCCGTGCCAGGGCCTCCCACCTGAGGACCTCGTTGTAGATCTCGGCCGCGCTGACAGTGATGGTGTACTCCCAGTCGGACGCCTTCT